CCACCACACCTGGCCCATCAAGGTTCGGATATTTCAAAAATTCCTTCTGTGCTAGTTCGCAAATATCTAATTCTTGCCCCAAAATATATTGCAATAGAGGTGGCGAGATCTCCCCTGCCAGAGGACCCCAAGCACACACTTGTTTTGCCTGAGGGGGAGGTCAGATTCTCTTTCCCAGTTACCAACACAGTAAACCAGGAATGCAATGGATTAAAGATGACGGCATTTCTAAAAAGAATCCTAATTTATTTTTGAAATCTAAGATATTAGCCGTCTTTGTCTACTTTATTATTAATTACAAGTTACTTATGACTTCGTGCTATGAAAGTGGGAGCTCTAGATAATTGAAGGGACGAAACAAGATCCTGCCAACAGTCTACACTTGGCCAATGGTGATTTCCCAGCAAGGGTCTACTGTACTGATCACAACTGTGACATCTCCAGGGCCGTGAGTCTGGCAACTGTCGAATGAGCGTTTATTAAATTAATCAGTGAACTCTTCAATATCGCTCAGTTAGCCTTGTCTTTATTATTTACCAACTGTTCCCCTGACTCCAGCCAAAGGTCTTGCAAATTGGTCACTCCCATGATGGGGCAGAGTGGGCTGATCAATGCAGATACTTCCCTGGGAAAATAGGTCAGGAAAGTCATGATGTGTGTGAAGGGAATAGGATGGTGCAGGGAACAGCGGGTTTGGATCTTACAAAGGGAAGAGGAATATAATAGCTTTGCTTCATTTGAGCTGAGAGGCACTCCCAGACACTTAGAAAGGGGATAAGTCCAGGTCACTACCTTGCTGAAGGTGGCATTGGTGGCCCTAGAGAAGGGAAAAAGCAGCCTTATCCACTCTTGAAGGTGGCAGGAAGGGCTCGAGGGTGCCTTTGGTGCCGAGGGCCCAGCAATGGTTTTGCGTCCTCTCTCAGAAGACAGTTCCCGCAGGGACAGCTTCCAGGCAGCTTGCTCTGGTTCCTCTGGGTGTCTCTAGAAGCCAGATCTTGCCACATCCCAGCCACAGTCGCCTGCCCTCTGGTCCTAAACTCACCTCATTTATTACTCCCTCCACCACCATGCCCTGCCACTTGCTGCTCTTGGGCCTGGTGAGTCCTCTCCCAGCTCCAAAGCTCAGCCCTTCACTTCATTCGGCAGCCCTCCAACGTTCCCTCTCAGGGAGGCCTTGTCCCCGGCCAAAATGACGGCCCCCACCTCTGCCCCGTCACTCCCCATTGTTCTCTCCTGCCAAATTAAACTTGCTTTCTTTTTTTCTAATGCTTATTTTATATTTTTAATGGAAATACTTCCAACATGAGACAAAACAAGCATCCTGAATCTATTTTCCAGATCTGATATGCTGCTATTATTTTGTCATATCTGCTACTTCAGATCTCTTGCTTCTAATCAACTTTTCTGAGGTAGAACTTCCCTGAAAAAAAAAATCCCATCATTCTGAGTGTAAAGTTTGTTGGGTTTTGGCAAATGTAGTCACCACTAGAATCCAGATGTAGACAATTTCCATCACCCAAGAGGGCTCCTTCATCTCTCACCTCCTATTTTCCTCCTTGATACCTGTCATTTTCCAGAATCACCTTAGTGAAGTGGGGTTTTTAGTCCATTGTCTCCTTCCCCACTGTCGAATGCGAGTGCGTTTTGCAAAGACAGGGGCCATGTCTCATTCACAGATATAATGGGCCCACAGCAAATTTAACAAAGTCACAATATTGTACTTCTCATTCTGTGTGCACAACTTGACATACATGTCTGGGTGTGTCTCTGCAGTAATTTCCTGCAAATGGAGCTAGTGGGTCAAAGGAGATTGACTTGTTTTGTTATTTAGAAAAGCATCTGTTCCCTTTCTCTTCTCCTGCCCTGTGACAGTGCATTCCAGGGTTTTTTCAACCTCAACACCCTTGCCTCTCTGAGCTGGATTATTGTAGGGCCACCCTGTGCATTGTGGGAGATCCAGCAGCATCCCAGGCCTCTACCCACTGGATCCCAGTAATAACTTCACCCCAGTTATGACAACCCACATGTCTTCAGACTTTCCCAAATGTCTCCTGGGGGTGGGAAAATCACACTTATTTAAGGACCACTGGTCTATATAAGTTATTTCCTTCCTTCCTTCTTTCTCCTTCCTTCCTCCCTCCCTCACTCCCTTCCTCCCTCCCTCCCTTCCTTCCTTCCTTCCTTCCTCTCTCTCTTTCTTTCTTTCAATACTAGGGTCTGAACTCAGGGCCTACACTTTGAATCACTCCCCCAGCCCTTTTCTTGTGAAGTGTTTTTTGAGATAGGGTCTTGCAAATTATTTGCCTAAGGCTGGCTTCGAACTGCTGATCCTCCTGATTTCTGCCTCCAGAGTAGCCAGGATTACAGGTGAGAGCCACGGAGCCCGACTGTAAGCTAATTTCTTGCTAACCTCAACTCTGTTCTCCAAACGGCCCATCTCTAAATAAAACACCTTCGATGGTGCTGGGATCCATGTTTGTGCCCTGTGTTTGCAGTAGATTGGCTGCATGACAACTCCCCATCCCCACCATGCTGCAGCAGGAGATGAGAAGCAGCGGGGAGGGAGGTGACCTTCTGATTTATAAGCCTGGGAGGAGCAGGGCGTATATGGCTCATTCCCTGCCTGGGTTCCTCAGGCTCACCTGAGGTCCTGACATAGCTACAAGCCAGACCCTAAGGTTCCTGACAGGGTTTTACTATGTAGCCCCCAAGAGCTGAGATTACAGGCATGCACCATCATGCCTAACTCTCAATGACACTTTTTAAAGCACAGCAAGTCAGTCTTTAGCCAGTCATTATAAAGTTTTAGAGACCATAGCAATGAGATTTTTGCAGAGGGAGAGAGAGGTGGGCTCCACTCCAAATGCTGCCTGGGAAGTAGGATTCTATACCCAAGGAGCAGGTGGGGCTCGGTGGTGGAAAAATATTAGGAAGAGACATCAGGAGGATGAAACACCTGGGTCAGGATTCTGGCTAAATTGACCTAGTAAGACTCTTGTTGGAGTCAGGCCAGGGTGAGCAGACGTCACAGGGTAACCAGATATTAAGGGTGGGGGTTCTTGCTAAAATGACCAAGTGGGGCTCTGCAGAAAGTGCACAGGTGGGCCTAGCAGAAGGTGCAGCAGCCTGACTAAAGTTTGGCCAAGCAAAGACTGTCTACTGTCCATGGAAACATGGGCCCCATGTTGCTAGACCTCCCTGTTTTTCAAGCAAGGCAAGAAATCCAGAGTTTTTTAAAATGTGAAATATCTTGACTCCTATTATGTAATAATTAACAAATAATTACCTGCTTAAGTGCGATGTAGGACAACGCAATTCCCCTATAGGCCGCCAGTCTGCAACGTTCAGTTAATGAGGTTGGTTCTTGCTTGTTTGGGGACTAGCTTGCTCATTACAGGAATCTTTTAATTTGACTGTTCACACTATAACAAATCTTTATTGAGTATCTACTATGTGCCAGTCACATTTCTGGAGCAGCCATTTGGCATTGATTTGCTGATATGAATGACACCAAAAGAGAGGGGCCAGGCGCCAATGGCTCATGCCTATAATCCTAGCTACTTGGGGGGCTGAGATTGAAAAGATCATAGTTCAAAGCCAGCCTGGAAAAATAGTTCTTGGGACCCCCATCTCCAAAATACCCAGAACAAAATGGACTAGAGGCGTGGCTCAAGCAGTAGAGTATCTGCTTTGCAAGCACAAAGCCCTGAGTTCAAATTCCAGTCATACCAAAAGAGAGAGAGAGAAGATGGATGGATGGATGGATGGATGGGTGGATGGATGAGGACAGATGGGTGCTTGGATGGTGGATGAACGGGTAAATGCATAGGTAAGTGAATGGTAGGTAAGTGGAAGGGTCGTAGATGGATGGATGGGTAGTTTATAACTCTTACCCCTTAGAGATACACGCTGATGTATTGCAGATAAAATAACATGACATCCAGGGGTCACTTCAGAATAATTTATGGGATTGAATTAAGGTGTAGATGGATCACATGGACCATGAAGTAATCTTGCAAGTTGAGTGATGGAGGCATGTGACAGTCCTGCCTTCTAATGTGACTGGAAGTCCCCATACTAAGAATGTTTGTGGTAATGTCTTGATCAGCTTGAGGGGCATTCTGAAGGAGGTGGCACTTAGTTTGTAACGTGCTGCTAAACTTTTTTTTTTTTACAAGTAGGGGTGTACACAAAGCATCATTTGGTGAAATAGTGATAATTAGTACAATTGGGTGATGGATGTGTGGAGACTGGTTATGCTAGTCTGTTCATTCAAAATGGTTGGGGTTCCTGCAATAATTTGCTTTAAGAAGAGAGAGACAGAAAAGTGAGGATTCCTGTTTTCCAGGCCCTTTGGCAGTATGGAGTTGTGTACTTGGGTACATAGTGGCTCTTCCCCAAGTGTGACAGTGCTGACATCGGGGAATGGAGACTCTCTGGCAAGGAAGGTCACACGCTGAGCTTTGCCACATGAGGCTAGAAACATGGACCTTGGACCCTGGGCCAGCTTCTCACCCAAATGGCTTCTCTGCGGGGTTCCTGGGAAGAGTTCCTGGAATCAGCTTCCCTGGGTCTCAGGACCAGTTCTACCACTTTGTAGCTGTGTAGCTTTGGATGTGTTGTTTAACCCTTCGAGCCTCAGTTTCCTCATCTGTTATGAGGTTAAAACTAATGCCTCATGGACCCATTAAGGAGATTAAATTTGTTATCACGTGGTAATTGATTAGTATGGTATGTAGCATGTCACATTTTTCATTATCAGTGCTTTTGCTGTTATTGTCACTGCTGTTCAGCATTCTGAGAGTGGGAAAGACTTTCTGAGATAGACGCATGAGCACAATTGGAGACAGAAGCCAAAAGGTGTCACAGGAAGAGGCACGCACTGTCCCCTGATCCACCCACAGCACCTCGCTTCTGAGCTGCTGGCATCAGTGTTCCTGCACGGTGTGTGCGAAAGGAATAAAAGAACACAGCCCCTCCTGACCATGTTCACTCTGCAGAATGAAGTGGAGCTGGGCGAGCTGCTTCTGTCTCTGAATTACCTTCCGAGCGCTGGGAGACTGAATGTGGACGTCATTCGAGCCAAGCAACTTCTTCAGACAGATGTGAGCCAAGGTTCAGGTACCGTGTGGTCCCCAACTTCCCCTGTGTCTTAAGGGGGCAGCTGTGTTTGTTTGGGGGAGTCAGTTTTTCTGCATGCTGAGTTCTATCCTTTTAGGAAGTAAGTCACTGAGGTGGGGGACTGTATCCAGAACTAGGGTCCAGTTCAAGAAATATCGGGTATCTCTTAAGATGAAGAAGGCAACTGGTGCCATCTCGAGAATCCAATTTGAATTCAAATCTGGATCTTCTCTGAATGCATGAAATGTCAAGAAAATGACTTGCCTTTGTAAGCACTATGCCTGCAATAGAGACACCAGACCCTAGGTGGCAATAGTGAGCAATGGTTATGCATTCTAATGGGTGAGCATGGTGGACCAGGTTAGGGGGGTTTTCTTAGCTCATTTCACTTATACACGCTGTTGCATTAAGTGTTTACCTTACAGCAAAACCAATTCAAATATGACATTGAATGAGCTGGAACAGATTCCATCACCTTTATGTTGCTTCTCCCATGACAGCAAGGATGCTAGTGTGAAAGTGGCCGTGGCCACTGTGCTGTCTTCAGCTCAGTGGTAGAAATACTGTCTTCTCCACATGTAATAGCCAAAATAAATTACTTTTGTGATAAGACGACAGGTGGATCTGGAATCCCCCTTGCATTCTCAAAAACCACATTTCAAAGGGTTGGGTGGAAGGAATGGTGTGATGGCTGGAGCCATTCAGACTCACCACACAGGGAGAATGAAGAGGATAAAATGATTAGGGGAGTCAAGCTGTCTGGAACCAAATCTCAGTTCTGCTGCTTGCAAATGATGTAGCTTTGTCTTATTATACCTCTCTATACCTCAATTTCTCCATCTCAAAAATTGACATAATAACAGTATTCATCTCATCTTGTTCAGACAAACATTAAATTAGATCATGTACATGAATCCCTTCCTAAACTGTAAAATGATCTAGGGATGACAGATAGAATTCTTCCATCTCTGCTCTCCTGTGTACAGGCTGAGCTCACTGAATAAGAAGGGGTTTCCACAGACAGAAAGGCAGGAGAGACCTAAGTCTGGTTCTGCCTCCTCCAGCCAGATCTTAAACAAATCATTTCTCATCTTGAGTCCTCAGTTTTCTCACCTATAAAATGAACTCTGTGCCTGAAACACAGGTGGAATAAGTTCCATAAATATTAGAGAACTGGAGGAAGAGAGAAAAGAGTAAGCAGATAAGGAGATGGATGGAACAATGCATGGGTACCAAATAGATGGCTACACTGGGAGAATGAATAAATGAGAAGAGGGGTGGACACCTGGATTGATGAGTGAGTGGGTAGACGGATGGATGATGGGTGAATAGATCAATGGATGGATTGGGAGGAAAAAATAGAAAGAGAAGAGCTAAAGGTGCAGCTCAGTGATAGAGGGCTTGTTTAGTGTGTATGAGGCCCTGGGTTCAATCCCTAGCACCTCCAAAAGAAAAATAAAGAGATAAAAGGATGGATAGACTGTTAAGCTGTCAGATAGATGGGAACTTGGATGGGTGGATGGATGGATGGATAGAATGGATAGATTGAAGAATGGTGAATGACGAGTAGAGCAGTGTCTTGACAGATGGATGAGTGGATGGATGGATGGATGGATGGACTGACTGAGAGATAGATGTGAAGTTGACTGCTGGATGGCAGGTTAAGGGGTGGAAGTATGGGTGGCTGAGAAGCTGAAGAAATGAATGGCCAGGTGGATTGGGTCATGATCTCTAACATTCTGCCACGTTGTGCCCCATTCTCAGACCCATTTGTGAAAGTCCAGCTGGTGCATGGACTCAAGCTTGTGAAAACAAAGAAGACTTCCTTCTTAAGAGGCACAATCGATCCTTTCTACAATGAATCCTTCAGCTTCAAGGTGCCCCAAGAAGAACTGGAAAATGCCAGCCTCGTGTTCACAGGTAGGTAGCATTCTAGACCCTGATCGACCCCAGGTGAGGCAATGTTTGACCTACTATCCTAAGGACTGAAGCCATCTAAAGAGTTATGTTTAAGAACTTTATGTCTGGTGTTCAGCTACTGGATTTGAATTACTTACCATCTGGGAACTGGGGCAAGACTCATACAGCCACAGAACAAAATTGTTATATAATTGCTAAAAATCAGACCAAGAGCTGGAATGGTCACAGAATAACTGAAGTGGTTTGCAAGTTGCTTAATTCTCCTCAGCCTCAATTTCCTCCTCTATAGAATGTGGACAATGATAGTTCTTGTGTCATGGGTTTATTGTGAAGAGTAAATGACATGTGACTATGAAATAGTGCCTGGTACATAAATGCTCACTAGATGTCATCTTCGAGGATGGTGACGATGACAATCCAAGTTGCTTAGCATATGAGAACATAGGGTCACCTAATCCAGGAAGGAGAATTGTGAAAAGCTTCCCCGAGGATATGTATTTAAATAGAGACATCATGTGCCACTGTTGGGTAGAATTCAGTCTACTTTTCCAAGGTGTGATTTAGTCCCTTATTTCCAGGATGTATTAGTTATCTATTGCTGCTTAACAAATAACCTTAAAATGTAGTAGCTTAAATCAACACACTTAGTATCTCACCATTCCTGTGGGTGACAAACACAGTCATAGCTTTGCCGGGTGATTCTGGATGAGCACCTCATCCAGAATGAGGCTGCAGTTGAGGCTTGGGCTGCAACCTCATCTGAAGGCTCACATTGGGAGGATCTGTCTTCAAGCTCTCTCATGTACTTGTTGGTAGGAGTCTGTTCCCAGCAGGCTGTGGACTGGGGGCCTCAGTTGTTGGCTAATTGATGGCTAATGACCTTTCTAGATTCCTTGTTCCCTGACTTCTCCATGGGGGCAACTCACATCATGGCAGATGGCTTCTGTCAAAGTGGAGGAAGCAAGAGGTGGCAAGAAAGAATTTTTGTAATCTACTATCAGAAATGACACATTATGACTTTTGCCTTATTCTGTTCAGTAGAAACAGTTCATTAGGTGATATGGTTTGGATATGAAGTGTCTTCCCAAAAGGTTCATGTGCTGTACACTCGGTCCCCAGCTGGTGACACTATTTTGGGAGATTGTGCCAATCTCCCAAAACTTTAGGAAGTGGGGCTTAGCTGAAGGAAGTAGCTCACTGGGGGTGTGTCCTCAGGGGTGTCTTGTCCCTGGTGCCTTTCTGTCTCTCTCTGCTTCCTGTCCACCATGAGATAACTGGTTTCCTCTCTGCCACACACTCCTGCCGCTATCATACTCTGCCCAAGTGCACCGTGCTGAACTATAATGGACGGAGCCCTCTGGAACCAGGAGCCAAAATAAATCTTAACTCTTTGAAGTTGTTTCTATCAGGTATTTTGTCACATCAACAAGAGAAGCTAGCCCATATTCAGGATCTCACAAGGATGCAGGTAGCAGGTGGGGCTCAGTGGGTGCCATCTTGGAAGCCATCACAATGGGGTTGAACCTGGTAGAAGCAATGGTTATTCCTCTGGTATCTTAAACCTGGTGGGCACTTCCTTCCTGTATCATTACTAATGTTTACCATCACTCACCCACTTGGTAAGTCACTTGCCATCCTCAAGCTAAGGTCTAGGAACTGAGGCTGGAAGTATAAGCAGCTCAATGTGGGTCTCGGGGCCAGGATTCATGCTCTGGTTTTGCCAGCTCCAACCGTGAGCACCAGGCAGCACGGCCTGGGGACCTGGAACTCCCCTCTGTGTAGACAGGACCTAGAACCCTTGTCCCCAGTCCTGCCATGAGCTCAGGCCATGGCCTCCCAGCAGGATTTTAGAGCTTCTTATCACCATGATTTACAGGCCCATCGTCTAAGGCTCCTCCAAGGCAGGTTGCTTCTGGACTCTTTCAGGGCCTGTCTCCTGAAGAGTCTGCCTCCCATCAAGGGACGCTGGCTCTGTGAGGATACAGTGATCCTGACGAGTGCAGCTGTGACCGCTTCTGTCCATATGGAGTTACAAATGGCATAGGGTCCACACTCTCCATGGTTTCAGGCCATACCACAAGCCAGTGATTTTGTGAAATGCTTAAATGGCAGACGGGCAGGCAGTAGAACCATATTGAACCAAGATAGAGCAAAGTCCCGTCCCTACTGACAATAAAGGACTTCCTGTAGTGTGCCCTAGAAGAGGAAGGGACCTCAGAAGGCACTGGGAGCCCCTGTGGAAAGCCCTGACACTTGCCTGTGTTCCCTAAAACTTTGTGATGAAAGGAACTCATGGCTGTCACAATAACTGACATAGCAAGGTGTGTAGGGACTGAGGGGCAGAAGAGCAGGAAGGGCAAGTACATTGGGTCCCCTCCCTGCCACTCACCTGCCATGGTGACCTTGGGCAAGATCTGGGGGCTTAGATTTTCTCAGCTGTGAAATGTGAATAAGGAAACAGGAGCCTTGATGAATGGTAGATGGCCACACGCTAAGCACTGAGTCTCCTGTCTGGCACAGAGCAAGCACTAAGTAAGAGCAGTTTTTCCAGGAAATGTTACGCCCTTCCTCATCCTCCCATCAACTTCTTTCTCCCAAAAGTGGTGACTTTAACATGTTTTTTTTTTTTTTTCTGGTAACACAAACATTATCCACATATACAGAGTTTGGTCTTTTAGCAAGTTACTTATGAGCCTGGTATGGTGGTACACATCTGTAATCCCATGCAGGAGATGAAGGCAGATAGGAGGATCTCAGTCCAATGCTGGCTTAGTCAAAAATGTGAGACTGAAAAACACACTAAAATCAAAAGGACTGGGGAAGTGGCTCAAATGGTAAAGTAGTTGCCCGGCAAGCAGGAGGCCCTGAGTTCAAACCGCAGTACAGCAAAAAAAAAAAAAAAAAAAGTTCTGCCAAAAAAATGTATTCATGAATTCAATAACTGTTCATTAAACTCCTTCTCTGTACCAGATACTGTTTCCAAGTGCTGGGCACAGCAGAGAAACAGACACCGTCCGTGCCCTCAGGGAGGTGACAGGGACCTCTCCATAGCCATCAGGCTGACATTTACCATTGTCAGTTGCGAGCACTGAATGTGTTCAGTTCCTCCAGGCTCTACAGATGCACGGGTTTCACTCTTCAGTGGCAGTGACTGTTAAATGCTGTTGCCTGGAGCACTATGAGAGAAACAGACCTTATTCACCCTGGGGATAAGTGGGGAATAATCGCCGCACAAAGTCAGTACACTTCCTCAGGTTCAGTAACAACCCTGGAGGCCCTCCCCAGAAAACCGCACAGAGCTGCAGAAAGTTCACATACAGTCAGAGTGTATCTAACCCCTGAACCCCATGTAGTCACCCCACCACAAGGCAGAAGTTTCAAACTGAATGGGCTCTCTCCTTCCCTCCCTCTCTCCCCTCCCCACCCCCACATAGCCCTGTCCTTTTTTTTTTTTTTTTTTTGGTGGGACTGGAGTTTGAACTCAGGGCCTCATGCTTGCTAGACAGGTGCTCTACCACTTGAGCCACTCCATCAGCCTTTTTTTGTGATGGTTTTTTTTTCGAGATAGGGTCTCACAAACTGTTTACCTTGGGCTGGCTTTGACCCTCCTGATCTCTGTCTCCTGAGTACCTAGGATTACAGGGAAAGCCACCAATGCCCAGCTCTTAGTTGACTGGCAGCACCTCAGGTGGCTGATGTCACCTGGGCCCTTGTCATCATCCCCACCACTCAAGCCTGCGCTCTTAATGCACAGAAGACATTTCTCCCATGCAAATCCTGGGGTGCGTGCTCCTGGGGTTCAAAGCCCACTGTAAATATTCTTTTGCCTCCCTGCCCATTAAGCCTGGGTTTCTCAACACTGGGCTGACGTTGACCATCAGCTAGGAGCTTGACCAGGCCCCATGATCAGAGACTCAAATTCACCTGGACCCTGTTGGGAACTGGCCATCCACAGAAGTCCTCCCCCTTCTCCCCCCACACCCTGCCACGCAACACACACACACACTCCATGCATGGTTTTGCTTTCTGTCGTCTTAATTACCCATGGTTTGAAAATATTAAATGGAAAATTCCAGAAAGGCCATATTCAGAAAGACCATATTCACATAACTTTTACTACAGTATATTGGTATAAGTGTCCTATTTTATTACTTATTGTTGTTAACCTCTTACCACGTGTAATGTAGGAATGAAACTTTAGAGAGATAGATGATAGAGAGAGATTTAGATAGATACACGAGTAGATAGGTAGATAGATACAAAGATAGGTGATAGACATATAGATATATAGAAAGATGATAGATGTTGATAGACACATAGATGATAGAGAGATGACAGATAGACAGTGATATTTTTTAGGCACCCCAGATATTTCTAAGGCTTGGCCAAGAAATATCTTGGCCCAGCTGTGATAACGGCCCCAGCCAGCTGCCATTTTCCAGAAAGGGCACCCACCAGCTGGAACAACAGAAGAACCTGGACTGAGCCGGTGTCAATCCACAACAAGAGGCTTCTCTGAATGCAAGTTCCTCAGGTTCTAGTTTGCTTTATTAGTCAGCAGAGGGAAAGAGCTGTCACCCCCAAGCTGAGGATGTGAAACCCAGCCCGCCCCTGTGTTTCCAAACACTTCCTAACAAAAGTCAGGTTGATCTGCCGCTGAGGGAGAGTCCCTAGGGAAAGCCATACTCAGCCTGTGGGCTGGGCTTCCAGACACTCCCTCCGGGTGGAAGGAGGAGGGGAGGCCTCGCCTGCAACTCGCAGTCAGGTGCTTTCCAGAGCTCAATTACAAAAAGAAAGAAAAGGGGAAAGTTGATTTTGCATTTCATTTCCACAGCTTGCTGAGGCCTTCTGGAAAATTCAGGCAGAGTGAAGAGGAGGTGGCCACTAGAGAGAGAAGGAGGGGGGGAGGAAGGGAGGAAGGAAGGAAGGAAGGGAGGGAGGAAGGAAGTTTGAGTTGCACAAAACCAGAGCAATTCAAGGAGGTACCCAGACACTGCAGT